TATATATATATATATATATTGTAGGTTTAAATATATAGATAAAGATACTGTGATGAGAAGTGTGTTAGATTTAGCCGACGGATGGTTTTTAATTTTTATGTAAAAGAATAAAATTTTAAATTGAAATGGTGAAAAAAAAAGGAAAATGGACAAAAAAACCGACAAAGTCACGTTGAGGGTTCTCACCCACGCCCTGCAAACTTGGTCCCATCCCACAAAAACCTTCCTTCGCTTCTTTCCTTCCTTCATTATTGCCTCTTTTTCCCCCTCTCACTTATTTTCTTTTTACTTTTGACACTTCTAATTATTTTTTATATTTTTTACTTTTTATTTTTAAGGCTTAAAGTTCTCACACCACCCCTTGTTTTGATTCTTTTTTACAGTTTGAGGTGACCCATCATCAACTTTTATGATCTTCCATTATATATATCAAATCTAACATAAAATAAAATTCAATCATTGTTATTTATCACCAATTTATAAAAACTATAATGATAAACTTCATGTCTGATTTTACTTAATATCACACTTCAATTTTTTTATTTCTCCTGGTTCAATTTTTCCATGCTAACTGTCAACTGATAATTGGTGAAGGTGAAGGCATCCAAGATTAATGGTTCTCACCCATATTTATTTATTTATATGTATATTTATATTGAGTGAAAATCATAAATGTTTAATATATGCGTCAGCTAAGGTAAGATTGATGTTGTTGGACCATCTGTAAAAGATCATAACAGTATACATATACCTATGAAGGCATGCATAAATCATATATGTTATTGGTTAGATGACAAAATGCCATTGTTGTAGACCATGTGTGTATTGAACTTTAGAAGACAATGTACGTATATCAATTAGGTGGCGAAAATGGGTTAGTGTAGGCCAATATGTGTGTTGTGCATTGACTAGCTGGCGAGATATGACTAACGTGTATGTATCTATCATACACATATATTCATCGGATAACGTTATTATCTTCTAATTAAATGCATATATAACATACATATATATATATATATATATAATCATTGTATCCTTTTTCATCTTTTAAATCGAGAAATATGGGTCAGATGCAAATGATATGGGTCAGATTGATCGATGCTAATGAATATCGTTAATTTTCCTTATTCAGCATGCTATTGTTTTTATAATAAGAGGTATATATATGTTCCTAGTCCAATTTCTTACATCGATGGGGTCTAAACGAATATGTTTATTTTAAACGTAATAGATTATGATTATAAAATAAGATTTGATCCATTAATGACATCTTATATGATATATGGTATTACATTTGAAATTTTGTGTCAATCGCAGTTGAATCAAGTGATTAAGTACACATCTACATATATAGTTCAGATTAGATAACAAATACCGAAGATTGTATACAACAACAAGCTAAGTCCCGAAAATCCCATTTGGAATTGAAGACCCCGAAAATCCCATTTGGAATTGAAGACCCCGAAAATCCCATTAAGATGAGGTAGAGAAGAAGACTGTATGTGCATACAAATTATGTAAACCATGTGTGTATCTTGATTAGGTTGAAAAGGTGAACATAAATGAGTAGCTAATGTGTATATCATATCCGTATGACAAGAGTATGACTCAAGTAGACCATGTACGTATGTATGTAAAGGTCTAGACCATGTGGATCAATGTATATATGTATCAACTCATTAAATATATATAGTATATGATATATCTTATAAAATATTAATAAAATGAGTTAGATGTATGAGTATGAGTATGAGCATGCATTAATGGGGAGCCAAAACCAAGATGCATGATTGATTATTGAGAAAGAAGTTAATGAAGGATTGGTCCACTGGTGTCTGAAATTTTGCAGAAGAGACCACTATTTACTTTCTTTCTCTTTCTCTTTCTCAATCACACAAAAACTGTGGTGTGTAGTGTGGCTTCTGCAAAATCTCTGCCACCTTCCCATGCTTTCCCCCCAAACCTAATATGTCTTTTACCTTCTTTCTTTCTTACTTTCTTTCTTTCTTTTTTTCTTTCTTTCTTTTGCGTGTGTGTGATGTAATCGATGCCCTCTTTTTTACTCTCTCTCCTTCTCCCTCTCTCTCACACACTAATCACACCCCCATAAAACACACACACTCTCTCTCTCTCTATGAGTCTGCACATTTCACCTTCCTCCATGTCTGTGCATTGGTACTTGGTTATTAAATCCTGCTAGCTGCTACTGTGCTACTGCTGTATGAGTGTGTGGCCATTGTACTGCATGCAGAACAACTGACAACTGGGAAACCATGACCCAGGTTTACAAGCCATCTCCCTTTCTCTCTCTCTCTCTCTCTCTCACTCTCTTTCTTCCTCTCTCTCATCAGCAGCTAGGGTTTAGTGTTTGATCCATATTTAAAGTAATTAATTAATGAACTTGTTTGTTTAGGGTATATAGTGGTGGCTGTTACTGTTAACCCAAAGGTCTGATCAGGTTACCTGATCATTTGAGTTTAAGTAATATTAAATCTTTTGTTTGGATTCTACCGGATATATGATATATGCTATCAATCGAAATTAAAGGTGTATAAACTTTATCTGTTGTCTACAGGACCATGTTGACAGTTCTGTTATTTTTTTGGTTTTATCTTTTCAAGATTTGTTAATTGTATATATTTGCTTTTAATTGGATTCTTTTGTTTTTCGGAACATAATTATCATGATCCACCGTATAAGAAAATCGAAGGGAAATATTATTATTTTCTTGAAAATCTTGTATGTTATTTTCAGGGGTCAATGATCTAGAAAGGTAACAAACTTTGATATTTGTCCATATTTAGATAATCATGTTTTTTCGTTCACATTTGACTATTAAACTTGTTTGACCTGTTCATAATAGGGTAATATTACCGTAATTACGGTAATTTTACTCTATTATAAACAGGTCAAACAAGTTTATTGGTCAAATGTGTACGAAAAAAACATTGTTACTTAAATATAGACAAAAACCAAAGTTTCTTACCCGTTTTGGTAATATTGGACAAGAACCGTCTCAGGGACTGTGCCTTGGGATCAGGCTCTGACAGTCAATGAACAATTAGGTTAGGCTTCGTAGCTAGGTTGTGTTGCTAGGTCTTTAAAGCGTATACAACCTAACCCCTTAAACGTATACTAGCTGGGCCTAAACTGGGTTGGTCCAAGACTTGACCATCTCCTCATACACAAAGACCGAACAACCCAATTTCATGTCACATCAATGAGTCTTATGACTACTTGTAATTAACATAAAGAACCCAATATTATCAAAATGGGTAAAGAACTTTGGTTTTTGTCTATATTTAGGTAACCATACCTTTTTCGTACACAATTGACAAGTAAACTTATTTGATCTGTTCATAATAGGGTAATGTTACCGCTAATTACCAATCATATTACCTTATTTTGAATTGGTCAAACAAGTTCAATGGTCAAATATATACGAAAAAAACATGGTTACCTTAATGTGAACAAAGACCAAAGTTCGTGTTACCTTTCTAGTTCATTAACTCATTTTCAAGGGATTTTGGGGAATAACTTGCATGAACGTAATTGGCGCCATTTCATAGTACATTTTTGCAAGCGGTTCTTTTAATTTGTGGAATAAAACCACCAGCCGAACACCCCCCGTCCAAAAAAACGAACAAATAGATTTTTTTTTTAAATGATGTATTAGACATAAAGGGTGTCATGTCATGGTTCTATCATGACAAAGACGATCCATCTCCACCTCACTTTACCATGTTTGCCACATATCAGAAATGGTATATGGTATACCAAAAAGAGAAGGAAAAGAGAGAGGCATTTGAAGAGAGAAAGAGGATGA